AAGCCAAGGGAGCCCCCCTCCAACAGCCTCCTCCTAGGCTAAGAGAGAGCAAAGTGGGTATTTGGAGAGAGTGCTGTGTCCAGGCCGTAGTTCCAGAAGTGCCTGCATGATTTATGACCATCGCCCCCTCCCACACACCTGAACTCAGGGCAGAGCTCAGCACAGGCACAATCCCAAATCAGGGGGTACAAGGTCACCCCGTGGTTTCTCTTGTCCTGTTTCCCAGCCCGGCCCCAGCATAAGGCAACATGCTGCTCCTCAGTGGGAGAGAGCAGGACATCTCTGCCCGCCCCCGAAGGTGGGGGCTGGAGCAGAGTGGGGGTGCCCAACATCACCGCCAGCATCTATGACCAGCTCCAGGACAGACCGTGCCCATCAGATATGAATTCACGGGGTCGTTGGGCAAATAGCCAGCTAGACCTCTGGGGCCAGCCGACAAGCTGCCACACGCCCTGGGGCAGAGTAGGGCAAACGGGCAGAGGAGTGAAAAGAGAAAGAATAGAGAAGCTGCCCCAGCGCTGGTGGAGAAGGAAAGGCACTGAGGGGTCCAGCCACCAGCAGCGTTCAGGACAGCCCAGACCGGTCACCCCCATTGTCCCAGCAGGGACAAAGCCAGAGATATCACAGGGTCACAGAGGCCAAGAGCTGGGGAGAGGGACAAAGAGACCAGGACGCCATCCTGGAACTTTTAAGCACTTAAAATATTTTTTAAAGATTCCCAGACTGTGGGCTTAGGGTGTTAAGACCCACCAGGAATCGGGGAGTTACTTGGATGGGCAATAATTCATTGCTTCATTTCAGCCAATGAGCTAGTACCTGGACAGCACTCCATACGTGTCGACAACTCTCTTAGCTACTATAATCCTGCATTCCGCACTGGGCTAAGTACTGGGGAAGCACGGATCGTCCAGCAAGAAAGCAAGTTGCTTAGTGGGAGACACACAGCACTGAGCGGGATTAATGCCTCCACCTGTAAGGTCTGAGAGGCCTTCTCGGAGGAAGGGGCTTCTAAGTGGACGCCTGAAGACCAGCCAGGGGCCAATCAGATAAAGACAAGGCTCCTCGAGACAGAGTGTTCCACCACACACGTGCAAAGATCTCAGCAACAGTGTGGTGGTGGTTGATAATCTGTACTGATGTACGGCGATTGTGCTATTAAGTACTAATTACTTACTATTAATTCCTGAAAATTTGTGCTTTTGAGCAAGTGCCTCCCTCTCTCTTTGAGCAGATGCCTCAGTTCCCTTATCTGTAGGAGGATGACCCTTCCAACTCTGTCCCTAGTCACTCACCTGTATTGACAGCTGTCCATAGGCTCTCACAAAAGGGGACCTGATGCTAGGCTGTGCACTTAGACCAGCACGTAGGGGACAGAGTCACAGAGGAAGGCTGGGGAAGGCGGTAGGGAATGTCTGCCAGACCCCGGCTTGGAGCTCTGTGGCCACAGTGACCATGCTCCAGCCTGCTGGGAACCTCACCCTCGAGAAGCACTCAGAGTCCAGGAAGGTGGAGGAAGTGTCCCCACAGCTCTATCAATTTTATCTTGATGAAGCAGAGGTCATAGTTAAAGGTGGAGCTCCCGAGAGAACAATGAGATCCTGGGAAAAAGAGAGGTAGAAGCTTCCAGGAAGTCCCTGGGTTTTGAGTCCCTGGATCCTGCCAGAGTACCCAGGGATGGGGTGGAGGGCTGCGTCTGATCTGTTCTGAGTACCCAGGGGCAAGGACTGCCACTCACAGGACTGAGCCAGGCTGAGGTGCGAGGTGCTGAGATGGGGCAGATCCCTGAGTATGATCCCTTCTGTCCCCCATACAGGCCTGAGACCATCCCTAGAGCACCATGGATGCACTTTAATGGACCCCACCCCCTCCTCTCAATGTTTGTATCCAAGGAAACTCAGGCTAAAATGGCACATAAGAGCCAAACCCCGCACGGAGACCACTGGCAAGAAATGAAACATAGTCACGGAGATGACTTATGTCTAAGACATAACTTAAAACTAATGCAAGTATCTCCTACATAACTCACCCAGAAGTTAAGCCATCCTAGTGGGTGTGAAGTGGTATCTCATTGTGGGTTTGATTTGCATTTCCTTGGTGACTAATGATGTTGAGCATCTTTTTTTTTTCTTTGTTTTTTTTAAAGCAGGCTCCGCGCCCAGCATGGAACCCAATGCGAGGCTTGAACTCACAACCCTGAGATCAAGACCCCAGCTGAAATCAAGAGTCTGACGCTTAACTGACCCAGCCACCCAGAGGCCCCGAGCATCTTTTCATGTGCTCGTTGGCCATTTGTATGTCTTCTTTGGAGAAATGTCTACTCAGATCCTTCGCCCATTTTCTAATGGGGTTATTTGTCTTTTGGTTGTTGAATTGTAAGAATTCTTTGTATATTCTCCGTACAAGTTCTTCATCAGATATATGATTTGCAAATTTTCTCCCTTTCTGAGGGTTATCTTTTCACTTTCCTGACGCTGTTTTGGCACATGAAAGTTTTAATTTTAATTTATGTGGCTTTTTCCTTTGTCACTGATGCTTTTGGTGTCGTGTCTAAGAATCCATTGCCTAGTTCGAGGTCATCAACATTTACTCCTATGTTTTCTTCTAAACGTTTTATAGTTTTAGTTATGACCCTTTTTTTAATCCTGTGCAGGAGAGTCCAGGCTCATCCTTTTGCGTGTGGATTTTCAGTTGTCCCAGCACCATTTGCTGAAAAGACCATTCTTTCCACACTGGGTTGTCTCAAGACCCTTGTAGAAAATCAACTGATGAGAAATTTAAGGGTTTATTCTTAACTCTATTCCATTTGATCTATAAGTTTAGCCTTATGCCAGTACCACACTGTCCTTTTTTTTTTTTTTAAGTTTATTTATTTTTAGTAATCTCCACACCCAACCTGGAGCTTGAACTGAGGACTCCCAGATCAAGAGTGGCATGCTCTTCTGACCAAGCCAGCGAGGCACCCCAGTAGCACACCGTCTTGATGACCATAACTTTGTAGTAACTGAAAAAGCTTTATTTTTTTTTAAGATTTTAATTATTTATTTGAGAGAGAGAGAATGAGAGAGAGAGAGAGAGCACAAGAGGGGGGAGGGTCAGAGGGAGAAGCAGACCCCCTGCTAAGCAGGAAGCCCCATGTGGGACTCAATCCCGGGACTCCAGGATCATGACCTGAGCCGAAGGCAGTCGCTTAACCAACTGAGCCACCCAGGCGCCCCTGAAAAAGCTTTAAATAGTACATATTAAGGGCTGGCTGGGTGGGAAGAAGATGGAAAAGGCCCTGCAGGTCTGAGGGGTAGCCCTCTTGGCTCGCCCGCAGATGCCTGAGTTCCTCTGGGCGCGGCCCTCAAGCTCCAGGCTTTCAATAGAAGGACCACTGGGGGGCTAAAGCCTACAAAGAACGGGTCCTCCACTCTGGCCTCCCACTCGACTCCCGCTGGGAGGCAGAGCCCCTTAATCACACGCTTTCTCCTTCCCACTCCTGGGAGCCCTAGCACTCGGAGGGAGCAGGAAACACTTGCATGCTAATCACATGCAAATGTTTCCGCAGAGCCGGCGTCTGGAGCCCGGCGGGCTGCAGGACCCGCCAGGCCACTCTGAGCCCTGGACCAGGCTGAGATTAGGGGTGCAAGCCCTGGCCCCGCCACGCCACGCCCTCCCACCCGGCGGCCGGGCCTCCTTCCCCACCGGCCGGCGACGCGGAGGTGGGCCCGCCCCCCGGCGCCCTGCGGCCCGCCCCCCGAGGGCGCGGCTCTCCGCGGGTCGGCGGCGTCCCGCCTCCTCCATTGCTAGCGGGCCGGGCCGCAGGACGCCGCGCTCGGCGGGAGTGGAGCTGCGCCACCGCCGGGCCGCGCGAGCCGGTGAGCGGGCTCCCCGGGCCTCCCCATTGTCCGTAAGGTGCCCTCCCGCCGGGGTCCGCGTCTGCGCCGTCGCGGACGCGCCTCTCCGTGCACCTCCCGGGCCCCTCCCCGCCTGTGACGGGCTCCGGGTTGAGGATCCAGGAAAGTCTTGTCTCGTTCTTGAGCTGCCCCAGCCTGAGATGGCTGGGGATCCTCACGCCTGAGGGGGCTCTCCCGAGCCCCTCCTACCCTCCACGGCCTGGGGTGTGGGGGAGGCACGGGCACTACGCAAGGCCTGGCGTGAAATCTCCACGCGGGCGCCTCCTGGGCGTCCCAGAAGCCCCACCCAGGGAAGATCCGTCCTGGGGAGGGTGGGAAAGGGGAATGACCCCGGATGGCAGGGTCATGACGTTCCTGTTGCCTAGCGCATCCCCCTTCCAGGCTAAGGTCAGCCGGCCCCTGCTGGAATGTGGGGGCAAGTTTGGAGACAGAGAAAGGAAGAGGGTGACTTGTCCCGGCTCACGAAGTTCTGGAACACCTAGTTCCTTCCTCAGCCCCTGCCAAGTGTAGGGGTTTGTGGGCTTGTCAGTCCCAAGCTCAAGCTGGTTCTGGCCTCTCTCCCACCACTGCCACCCTGTGTCCTGGGCCCTGCCTGATATGGGGTCTGGGAAGGGAGGGGGTCTCCAGGGCTTGCTGTGGAGCTGGTGAGGGCTCCTTTGCATCCCCTCGAGGCACTTAGCACACCAAAGCCCATTGCTCCCTCCTGCGGCCATGCCTGCAAGCGTAGAGGGGCAGAGAAGGGATTCCGAGGGCCTAGTGAAGGCTCTGGCATCAGATGGGAAGCCCTAAAAACAAACCATGGGATGCATGCAATGTTTGAAGGACAAGAAATGCCATTTGATCTTGTGCCCTGTCCACAAACCCAGCTTCCTGCCACTTGGGGACGAAGATAGTCACTCTGACTCTGGCCTGGGGTCCCTGAGGGCTGAGGTGGGCAGCTCCTGTGGAGAGCTTCCAGGCCCTGGAAGTGAGAGTGAAGTGTCTCCATCTGCATTTCCTTCCTTGCCACAACCACGTACCAGGCAGTGATCATGATTCATGGTGCCCAGTACAAAGGAAAGACCACTTCCCTTCTGGGGCAAAGTTGGAGCCAGAGGCCCCAGCCCCATCTCTTCTCCGCTCTGCTTGAGTCTTCTGGAATGGACCTGCCTGCCAGGAAGCCAGGTCACCTTTGGTCCTGGTCTTGCCTGCCCCCTGGGGAACACAGGTGGGTCACATTAGTGTTATCTTTTTGCTCACCCAAGGCCTGGTAGGGATGTGTGAAGAGGTCCCTGCTCATAGTGTAGGGGGGGGGGGAGGAGGGACAACAATGATTAACAAGAGAATGATCCACTCCAATGTGGTGTGAAAAGTACAATGAAAGAGAGAAATAGAGGAAGGGGGCCTAGTCCAGCCTGGGGTGGAGGTCACGGGAGCTTCCCAGGGGTGCTGTCAGGGCTGAATCTTGAAGGACCAACAAGATTCTCTCTGGCTCTGATTTTGGAACCTCGGCAGCCTAGTTTTTGAGGAGGGACCAGTTTGCTGGGGGAGGGGGCTAGAGGACCAACCAGACAAAAAAGCTGTTTATGACCTAGGAGTCACTGGGGGTCTGGGAGGGGATGCCCCCTTGTGGAAGGCAGAGTCTGCAGGGGAACTCCCAGAGGGAGGCCAGGGGTCCTCAGACCTGGGAGGCAGGGCTCCCAGCGTGCAAAGAGAGAGCAGAGGTGCTTAGGGTTTCCTGGGCTCTGACTGTTCCCCAGAGGCCTGGAGGAACGAGAGGCTGGGAAAAGTCAGCTCCACTGCAAGATTTAGACAGAGGGTGGGTGCAGAGTGAAGGTCAGAATCCTGGACAAAGTCCCCAGAGGGCTACCTGGAGAAGTGGCTGCTAATACGGGCACTAAAGAGGCCACTCCGGGGTGGAGTGGAGGAGGTTGGGGGGAGAGGCCTGTCTATAAAGGGGCAGAACAAGCACGAATGAGAAAGGACCAGAGCGGGGGCAGGGGGAGCTGGGCCCGTGTCTCCTCTGTCATCCACCTCCTCTGGGTGGCATCAGATGCCCTGCTACCTCTGGGTCAAGTGACAGTGTGCTGCTTTGAAAGGAAACCAGCAGGGTCCCAGGACTTGGAAGTGACAGGTAGGGCAGCAGTGAAGGGAAGGGCAGGAGGGGTGAAGGCGGCGGAGGAAGGCTGGTGGCACTTCTGGGAGGAAGAGGGGAAAGCGGCAGGTTAGGGCAGACTAAGGGCCCAGCGCTGGAGACATTCAGGTGTGGAGGGGACATTCAGGCCAACACAGGATCAGGTTGTACCGGTGGCCTTTCCATTTGCTGCAGGAACAGAAATCCTGGAAGGGAACTGTATCTGAGGTTTGCCTGAGCCTGGAACCGGGCCGGGAGGATTGGGGCTGAGGGATCTCCGGGGCCAGTACCACAAGCAGGAGCCAGGATGGCAGGACAAGCTTGCAGCACCCCCCACACACACACACACGCACACACGCACGCACGCACTGGAAGCTGCGCTGAATGGGCCACTCACCTTGGCAGGGCTCCAGGGGGTCCTCTGGGGAGGGAGGAGGCTTGGTGCCCAGAGAAGAGATTGGAACGACAGAAGGAGGCAGTTTAGGGTGGATCCCATTTAGCTGTTAGAGCTCCTGGGCCTGGCGGGGAAGGTGTGGAGTGCAGGGCGTGGCAGGAAGATGGGGTTGCATATTTCTGATAGTTTCCTGAGTTTCCATAGATCTTCCCAGGACCTGGGGGTAAAAGGAGGGAGGCTGTGGGAACTGTAGCTCAGGGGATCCATTGTCTCCACTGAGGCAAAGGCTGCCGGAGCCCTGAGTACGGTCTGAGGGCCACAGGGGACCACGGAGCAGGTGGAGAGCCGGGAAAGAGGGGACTGGGTAAGGGCTCCGCATTTGGGGAGGGGCCTTGGGGCTTTGCGGCCTGGTTATGGCAGCTTCTGTGATGGGGGAGCAACCTGGATGGGGTGAAAAACTGAGATAGGACTGAGCCAAAGATGGGGGGTGTGCATGTGCATCCACATGGTGTGTGACCCTTTGTGCGTGTGTGTGTCTGCATTGTGTGTGACCGTGTGTGTGTCTGTATGTCTATGTAGCATGTGTCTGTGTCCATTTGTTTGTCTCTGGGCTTGTCTGCACGTGTCCACGTAGGTGTGTATCAGTGCATGTGTGTGTCTCTTTGTATATGTCTGGGCATGTCTACATGTGTGACTTTGTATGTTTGTGTGTCTCTAGACTTTGTGTGTGTGTGTTGGGGGGTGTTGCTCAGAGAAGCCCTGACAGGTGGTGGGTCATTATTGAGCATCACTGTAGAACTTGCCTCTGCCATGAGCTCCCTGTGAAAGATGTGATTTCACAGGGCCTTTGGATGAGATCCATGCCTTTTCCTGAAAGCTGCTTGTTTGGTGCCCTTGGACAGCTCTTCTGTGTATACTCCTTTTCTTGTTTTTTTTTTTTTTTAAGATTTTATTTATTTATTTGACACAGAGACAGCGAGAGAGGGAACACAAGCAGGGGGAGTGGGAGAGGGAGAAGCAGGCTTCCCGCTGAGCAGGGAGTCCGCTGCGGGGCTCGATCCCAGGACCCTGGGATCATGACCTGAGCCGAAGGCAGACGCCTAACGACTGAGCCACCCGGGCGCCCCTATTCTGTGTACGCTCCCTGACAACACCCAGCACCGACTTACTCACCTAGGACTTCTTGACAGCACTGACAGCGGATGCTGCTGTTAAGGTGGCGTGGTGAAAGTCTGTGTTTGTGTGCCGGAAGCCTGCGTATGAATGTTGGAAAATGCATCTGTGCGTGCCTGTGGGGGCATTGGGACCACGCTGGCTCTAGAGATCTGTTCTGTTCTACAAGCAGCTATTGAGTGCTTGCTGTGTGCGGGAGGGGGCCCCAAGGCTGGGCCAGGAAGTGCCACCTGCTGACTGACCACCAAATGTAAGTCTAGAAAGAATTCCACCCACCTGCCTTGCCCCACTGAAGGCTCACCTGCCTGCCCCTCCTGCCAGGCTGGCTCTGGGAAGTGGGTGAAAGGAAATGCCAGGGCCATGGCATTTGCCTCTGGTCACCTCCCAGGGGGCGGTACACTCTGTGCCACCTGGTGCTGGGGCAAGAGGGCGGGGTGGTTTCAGCCACCCAGGGAAAGTGGCTGGTGAACTGGGGATGGCAGCTACATTCTGTCCCCTCCGCAGGTTGCCCAGGCAGTGGTAGCGGCATTCGTGGCAAAAGATGCCCCGGGTCCTGGAGCGTGCAGAGGGCTGCTGGGCCTGGGTGGTGCTGCTGGCCTCCCTGGTGACCCAGGGCCTCACTCTGGGCTTCCCCACGTGCACTGGCATCTTCTTCACTGAACTACAGCATGAGTTCCAAGCCAGCAATAGTGAGACCTCATGGTTCCCCTCCATCCTGACAGCCATGCTCCACGCTGGGGGTGAGCAGCCTGGGGAGGGGCCGAGGGAGGGTTGAGAAAGAGCCTGGGGTGAGGGAGGAAGCCACCATCTCCCTGGCCTCCTGGAGCTCTCTGAGGCCACAGGCTTTGTCTCATGGGGTGAATTCCTAAGATATCACCTGATTTCAGCAGGGCCAGCCCCTGGCAGGAACCCTGCAGGGCTGTGCTGTGCTGTGCTGTGCTGAACTTGGCTGGGCAGGTCTAGGCTGGGCAAGGGATGGGGAGAGGGTACGGAGGTACCTAAGGTGCAAAGCCAGTCCTCTCAGTGGCTGGTGGCCGCGGGATGATCGATGCAGACTGTGGGAGTGTCAGGCACTAAGCACAGACTTGAGGAAGAGCTGCTTGCGTGATCTCTCTGAACCTCAGTTTCTTCTTCTGCAATATGGAGGTAACGCCCAACACCCTACCCACTTCCTACGTGGGATCATAGGGAGGATCCCATGAGTCACTAGCGAGTCGTATTTGGAGAACCTCGTTAGGGGCTTCAGCATGGGAAAGGGGGCTTGAGGAAGACCTCAAGACTTCAAGATGGGGGCAGGGCAAGAGCCCCATCTCTCACCAGGAAGCAGAAGGGATGTTGCAAGGGCTGGGGAGGTTCGAGTGAAGGCAGCCCCCCCCATTTCCTACTTGACTCCTCCAAGAATGTGACCCTCTCACCCTGACCCCAGTGAAGGGGGATGGCCAGGGCTGCCTGGGAGACTCCCTGCAATAGACTTGGGCTCAGGGGCCTGCCCCTGGCTCCCGAGAGCTCTTGAGGGAGATTCCGTAGAGAGTGACCTGCGAAGGGGGTGGGGCGAGGAGGCTCTGGTCAATGGGAGCCAGATCTCACGGCCCACAGGGCTCTCCCCATGCATGTGTTTGCTGTCTCCGCGGACTCCGTCTCCCTACACGCGGCACAAGCAGCCTGCTTGTTATTCCAGGTCCTTCCCTCCAACTGGGAGAGAAGTCAGACTGGGAGAGATGGCCTCATGAGATTACCCCTGAACCTGCCACCCCGGGGCCTGGACTCAGGGCCCTGGGAGAGGCCTGGACCAGGCCAGACCGCGTGACCTTTTCACCTGCAAGGTTGGGGCAGAAGTGGGAATCTCAGGCGGTTCCTTCCAAGCAGCCAGAAAGGGGTCCGCGCCAGGGCCTGGGAAACAGGCATCCATGGGGACCTCCACTCCCCAACTAGCTTTAGACTCGCCACCTCCTAGCGGGCATGCCAACACCTCAGTCGGCCTAGGTTTCTTGTCTGTCTGTCTGTCTCACGTACAAATACACCTTTAGCCCATGCTCATTCAGAGTATCAGAGGAATTTTATTTTATTTTATTTTTAAGATTTTATTTATTTGTCAGAGAGAGAGAGAGCACAAGCAGGGGGAGCGGCAGGCAGAGGGAGAAGCAGCCTCCCCACTGAGCAGGGAGCCCGATACGGGACTCGATCCCAGGACGCTGGGATCATGACCTGGGCCAAAGGCAGACGCTTAACTGAGTCACCCAGGTGTCCCCAGAGAAATTTTAAACTTGAAATTATCCTCGATCCCAAGCACCCCCGGCCCCCACGCATCTTAAGAGATGAAGAAAGCAAGCAAGCACAAAGTACAAAGCACGTTCGGGGTGGCAGAGTGAGTTCAGGGCAGAAGCAGTGCCCGGCCGAGGAAACACACCCTGCCTCCCGGTGCCCTTGGCTAGCTAAGGCACACAGGCGCAGGTCTCAGCCGCCATCCCCTGGGCCATGGCTTGGGGCTTTCCCCAAGGTCACCTCTCGGAAGTCAGGCCAAAGTTTGGGGTGGGGAAGATGGAAGATGTGTGGGGCAGTGGTCATGTTCCCTGCAGAGTCTGGCCTCTCCCTCTCTAGCTACCTCTGCTTGATTATCTCTGAGTGTGGGCTGCCTACTTCTGCTGTCCCTCCCATACTCATACTGGCTCACACCCACACATGCCTTCTCCACCCCAAACATACACAGACACTGCGTATACACACGCACACTCTCTCTCTCTCTTTCCCTGTTCCTTTGGCTGTGCTCTGGGAGGCTAACTCAAGAAATTCCATTATGTGTACTTGGGGGCGGGGCACTGAGTGAATGGGGCCCTGCAAGGCATGGAGAAGCAGCCAGCCAGGACTGGTTTGTTTCCGTTCTGGGTCTGGGCTGGTGAGAAAGCAGCTTAAGGTGGGGGTGGGGTGGAGGAGAACAGGCCCTTCTCCACCAGAAGCCAAACGTCTGGGTGCAAGATTTTGTGTTGGCTGGAAGTGATGGGAGAGGGGAGAAAGCACCACACCCAATTTTCTCCAGAGCACTCCAGAGGCCAGTGCAAGGGGGTAGGGGGTGGCCCAGGGCCCCAGGCTGCCCGCCTTAGACAGGTTGGAGGCTAGTGGGAGGGCTGTGGCCAGTCCTCTTGAGAATGGGAAGCAGGCAGGGGCTGTAGCTGCTCACTGGTTTTGATACCCTGGGACCCTCACCCACCGAGACAAGACCCCTCCAGCAAGGGGCATCCCACCCAGGTCATGAGCCAGCCCTATTTTACTAGATGGAATCAGCCTCAGGTTGGCATAGTGAAGGGCCTCAGTCTGTTGCTCTGGGGATCCTCGTTGGGGGTCAAACTGCACACACACACTTCCCCTCAAAGCCGGTCAGATGTTATCCAGTGTGACCTCCTGTAGGGGAGGTGCAGAGAGGGACTGAGTTTGCCCCAGCCCATTGCCAGCCTGTGGCCGGTGGCAATCAAAACCTAGGCCTACAAGGCCCCAGGGCTGTGCCCTTCAATCTACGTGGCTAATTCTTACTGGAACCCCCTCCCAAGCCCACTCTCCCTCCCTCCCATCCTCCTCATTCAACCACCACCTGCTAGCTGCCTCCTCACCCCTGCCCCTCCCTGCATTCTCCCCACAGGACCACTATGCAGCATCCTGGTGGGACGCTTTGGCTGCCGAGTGACGGTGATGCTGGGGGGCGCACTGGCCAGCCTGGGCATGGTGACCAGCTCCTTCTGCCGCACCCTTAGCCAGCTCTACCTCACAGCAGGATTCATCACAGGTGACCGTCTTCCCATTTCGAGAACTTCTGGGTGCCTACCAAAAAGTGCCAGACATAAGTGCAGGCAGCGTGCCTAATCTTCTGGGGCTGCTTGTAGTCACATGAGGGAGAAGGACAATGAATACATAAATGAGAAAGATTGGTTCTGATGGTGACAAGCACACGAGAAGACAGCTGATGCGATGGTGTCCTGGTTGGGGGCGGGGGTGGGCAGAGATTAAACAAGCAAAGAGGTAAAATCTCTAGAGCACCCCATGCAGAAGATAAAGCAAGGGTGGGGGGGGTTGCTACTTTCTACAGGGCATTCAGGGAAGGCCTTGCAGAGAAGGTGACATTTGGGCAGAAAGCTAATGGGGGTGAGGGAGTTTGCTGCCAGGCTCTCAGGGAAAAAGCATTCCAGGCAGCAGGGAGAGCAAGTGCTAAGGCCCGGAAGGGCCCGAGGGGGAGTGAAGGGCATGAGCAAAGGTAGGGTGGGGAGTAGTGGATGGGGAGTAGTGCCTGAAAGGCTGAGCAGTGAGATGGGAAACCATCTGAGAGATTCGGGCAGTGGGGTGAGTGACGTCATCCAACTGCCGTTTGTAAAGCACCACTCTGCTGTGTCGACATAGGTGCACCGGGGGGGGGGGGCTAAGTTAGAGCAGGAGAACAGGTAAGGGCATGGTCATCACCCAGACAGGAGGTGGCTGTACCTTTGACCATGGTGGTATGATGGAGGTGGTGAGGAGCAGTCACGTTCAGGACTGCGAGGGAGGTCCAGAGAAGAAGAGTCAAGGATGACCCAAGGTTCCAGCAGCCAAGAAGGGTGACGCCAAGGTTTTTGCCCCAAACCACTGGAAGGATGGAGTAGCCTTTAACTGCATTGGGAAACCTAGGGGAGGAGCAGGTTGGTGGGCGGTTGGGAAGCTCAGGTGTGGAAACATCCAGTCTGCCGTTCCGGGACAGGCCCTGGGCTGCAGCGAGCAGTTGGGGATCATGACAGGGCTGGCATTCTAATGTTGAGGGCAGGTATCATCCTGCTGTCACCGAGGGAACATGGGTGGGTGGCTAAGGAGGCCTGAGGACTGGGCCCTGCGGGATCCAGCAGTCTGCATGGGAACAAGGGACACAGGCAGGAGGAGATGCAGGAGAGTGATGTTTTTGGAGAAAGTGAGGAGAGAGGGCTGTGTCAAGCTGCTGGTGGATCAGGTGGAAGGAGACCAGCCTTGATCTTTGGATTTGGCAATGTGGAGGTTGCTGACCTTGATAAGAGCAAGTCTGGACCAAGGGTGAGGGCGAAAGTCTGATTGCAACAGGTTCGAGAGCAAAGAGGAAGAAAGGAATTGGAGACAGCGGAGATAAACGGTATTTCCAGGAAATTTTGATGAAGGGGTCAGAGAAACGGGCCAGTACCCAGAAGAGGCTGTGGAGTCAAGAGAGGGTTGTTTTGTTTTGTTTTGGGGTTTTTTTGTTTGTTTTAAACTGCTTTATTAACTTCACAAAATATAATGAGCAGCATTCCACGCAATAGGGTAAAACTCCCCGGCTGATAGAATCTTACAGACTGAATCAAAATACAACATTCGAGGACACCTGGCTGGCTCAGTCGGTAGAGCATGTGACTCTTTTTTTTTTTTTTTTTTAAGATTTTAATTATTTATTTGAGAGAGAGAATGAGAGAGAGCACGAGAGGGGGGAGGGTCAGAGGGAGAAGCAGACTCCCCGCCGAGCAGGGAGCCCGATGCGGGACTCAATCCCGGGACTCCAGGATCATGACCTGAGCCGAAGGCAGTCACCCAACCAACTGAGCCACCCAGGAGGCCTGAGCATGTGACTCTTGGATCTCAGGGTCATGAGTTCAAGCCCCACATTAGGCAAAGAGCCTACTTAAAATAAAAACAAACACACAAAAACCCCCACCCATATTCAGGAAGGAGCTGGTAACAGGAGACCCACAAGAAACATGTAAGACCAAAGGGTTTATGGGAAAGGTCCATCGTGAACATGTAAGTTTAGAAAAACAGGTCCGTCTTCCTATGAACTTGAGGGAGAACATCAGGACTCAAGGCATCAGGCCAAATTCCTCATCCATTCTTGGTGAGGAGGGTCAGTGCTAGCTGCCCGCAGACCATGACCAGATTGCTTTTCCCTCTGCTGCCTCACTTCCTCTCACCCTTGCCTGTGGCTCTGTGGCTCTCCGGCTCTCCAAGCCTCTGACGCACGTCGCACCTATATCCTGCAGGATGGAACTGCCTATGGAGGCACACGACATCCACCAGCTTCCAAAGGGAGGGCCAAGGCTTCTCCTTTATTAGCACCTTGCTCCTTTTCATCCTTTCCTGAATTTTCCTCTTTGGACGCCATTGCTCCTGGGCCCCTCCTTGTGGTCTCCTGCTCCTCCCGAGATCACAGCAGCGAGAATGAGCCCCAGGGACACTTCCGCCTGCACGCCTGCTCCCCCTCCGTCTCCTACTTTTGGGGATCACCCCTGACCTGCAGACCCTCGGGGCCACTGGGAGCAGGTACCGAGAAGGGAGTGGGGGCAAGCCATGGCCAGATCTCTGTTTTGGTTTTTTGTTTGCTTTTGTTTTGCTTTTTAAAAAAGATTTTATTTATTTGAAACAGAGCACGGGTGGGGGGCGGGGGCAGAGGCAGAGGGAAATGGAGAGAGACAAGCAGACTCCCCGCTGAGCAGGGAGCCCAACCTCCGGGCTCCATCCCAGGACCGCGAAATCATGACCTGAGCCAAAGCCAGATGCTTCACTGACTGAGCCATCCAGGCGCCCTTTGTTTTGTTTTTCGTGGGAGAAATAACAACGAAGTCGAGAATGATCTGGCAAAGAGGAGAAAGTGGGTGGTGCAGGAGAGGGAAATTGCTGAAGGGATACGCCTTTGAGTAGACCAGAGGAAGGGCATAAGTGGAGGGTTGGCCTTGGCTGGCAGCATGGACAGACAGTCCAGTTTTACAGATGGAAGGCAGGTGGTCAGCTTGGGGGGGAGCGGGGGGAGGGGAGGGTGCATAGAGAAGGACTGGTGGTCATCTAGGAGGGTGGGAGGGAAGACGGACAGTGGCATCATAGGGGGCCCAAGAGTCTGCCTGAGGCTTGTGGTCATGGTGTGGTCGTGAGCTTTCTCTCCCAAGATGTTCAGCTGTGGGGGGCAGCTTGGTGTCCAGAGGAAGAGAAGAAGCTGATGTGGCTCAATCATGGTGAGTGACGGAGAATGGCCTGAGATGGCACCCAAGAGATGACCAGAGGCCAGACCGTGCAGAGCCTTCCAGGGTAGAGTAAATACGGTGCATTTTTTTCTAGGCGTAATGGGAAGTCCTTGAAAAGTGTTAGGTAGGGAAGAAACTTACCCCAATTTAGGTTTTTATTTTGTTTATTTATTTTTTTAAGATTTTATTTATTTGAGAGAGAGCGAGGGCAAGCGCTAGGGGAGGGGCCGAGGGATAAGGAGAGGGAGAAGCAGACTCCCCACTGAGCAGGGAGCCCGACGCGGGGCTCGATCCCAGGACCCTGAGATCCTGACCTGAGCTGAAGGCAGATGCTTCACCGACTGAGCCACCCAGGCGCCCCCCAGTTTAGGTTTTTTTTTTTAAAGATTTTATTTATTTATTTGAGAGAGAGAGAATGAGAGACAGAGAACACGACAGGGAAGAGGGTCAGAGGGAGAAGCAGACTCCCCGCTGAGCGGGGAGCCTGACGCAGGACCCGATCCCGGGACTCCAGGATCATGACCCGAGCCGAAGGCAGTCGCTTAACCAACTGAGCCACCCAGGCGCCCCCAGCTTAGGTTTTTTAAAGATCATGCTGGTGCTGTGCAAAGGGGACAGGTGTGCCCCTGGCAGCCTTGGAAGGGCAGAGCGGATGCTTCTACGGGGGCGGCAAGGCAGTCTGTTTCCTTCTTCAATCCCTGGGGACCTGGAAGTGGGTCTGGGCTCAAACAGAAGGAGGGCAGACATGGAGCATGACCCCATGACCCCTCTCTGGGTACGGGTGGGAGGCCCCGAACGCCCTTGAGTCAGTCTCCCTCCCACCACAGGCCTGGGCATGTGCTTCAGCTTCCAGTCGAGCATCACCGTGCTGGGCTTCTACTTCTCCCAGCATCGGGCGCTGGCCAACGCACTGGCTTCGGTGGGCGTCTCCCTGGGCATCACGCTCTGGCCACTGCTCTCCCGATACCTCCTGGAGGATCTGGGCTGGAGGGGCACCTTCCTTGTCTTCGGCGGAGTTTTTCTCCACTGCTGTGTCTGTGGAGCCGTTCTGAGGCCCGTGGCCACCAGCACAGCCCCTGAGGCTACAGAAGGCCCCCCTCCACCTTCCAAGACACCTGCTCCCAGCTGCCTGGCAGCGTGTGGTCGGGCCATCCAGCGCCACCTGGCCTTTGATATCCTGCGGCACAATGCAGGCTACCGAGTGTACACACTGGGTGTTATGTGGATGATCCTGGGTTTCCCACTGCCGCACGTCTTTCTGGTGCCATATGCCATGTGGCATGGGGTGGATGAACACAGGGCAGCCCTGCTCATCTCCATCATTGGCTTTAGCAACATCTTCCTGCGGCCCATGGCTGGGCTGGTGGCAGGCCGGCGGGACTTTGCTGGCCACCGGAAGTACCTGTTCAGCCTGGCAGCCCTGCTCAATGGCCTCACCAACCTGGTTTGCGCTGCATCGGCCGACTTCCGGGTGTTGGTGGGCTACTGCTTGGTGTACAGCGTGTCCATGAGTGGCATTGGAGCCCTCCTCTTCCAGGTCCTCATGGATATTGTCCCCATGGATCGGTTCTCCAGCGCCCTGGGCCTCTTCACCATCCTGGAGAGCATCTCCATTCTCATCTCCCCGCCACTGGCTGGTGAGGCCCTGGGAGGGAGGGTGGCCAGGTGTACATGGGTGTGGCCTGGGTGGGCAGGATATGGAGATAGGGCAAAGGGGAACGATCTGAACAGATTTGGGTGCCATCAGCATCTCCAGGGGTAGGGACTGGGAATCTGTGATTTTTCCAAGCATCTGTGATTTTCCAAGATGCAGGCTGTTCCCCAGCTGGCGTCCAGGGCATGAACAGTTAAAAATAAGGATTTTTATACCAGACTTGCCTGAGTCCTTCGTCTTCCTCTCTCTACCTCTGTTTTCTTATCAGCAAAGTGGGGATGATAATAGAATCTACCCTGTAGGCTTGTTGTGAGGATCACAATTCTATAGCAGAGAGCCTGGCACAGGGCAGAAAACTGCGCACATGTTTGCCGTGATTAACATCCTGGCTGTCCCGCTTCCTACCTGTGGGACCCAGGCAAGTCACTTTCCTTCTCTGAGCCACAGTGTCATCTGCAAAATGCAGACAAGAACACCTGCCTTAACCACTGGTTCGCCTGTGCCAGTCACTGGTGGGCATGGCTGAACACAGAGGCCCAGTCCCCACCTCTCAGGGCTGACCTTCTTCTTGTGGGAGAGTCAGGAATTAAAGCAGAGACACGTTTGTGTTCAGCGTGGTGACTTGTGCCAGGAGGGAAACAAACACATGTGGGAGCAGAGACGTAGGGGAGGGCCCAGGTGTAGCTGAGCAGATATCCCAGTCTACCGGCCCTTGTGTGCTGGGCTTCCTGCCACCAAGGGTAAGGGAGACATGCCCTGAGGTGCCCTTCTGGCCCAAGGGCTCGTCCTGCCCCCTGGAGAGCAGGCTTAGTGTTTCCTCATCTCCTTTGATTCAGCAAATCTCTATTGAGTGTCTCCTAGGTGCCAGCCACAGTGGCTCCTACTGGGGATACAGCAGAGCCCAAAATAAAATCCCTGCTCTCGGAGAGCACACGAGTTACTGGGAGGGAGGTTTGGTAGCCCCGGACAGTGGCCTAACTTGCTCTCTGTCCCCAGGGCTCCTCCTGGACACCACTGACAACAACTTTAGCTACGTTTTCTACATGTCAAGCTTCTTCCTCATATCAGCTGCTCTCTTTATGGGTGGCAGCTTCTGTGCCCTTCAGAAGAAGGAGAGGCCAGGCAAGCAGGCCAAGGCAGAAGGAGCCATCACGGAGGCTGCCTCAGAGCAGGTCCTCACGGCGGAGGACTCATGTGATTCCAAGAAGCAGCTATACACCGAGGTCATGTATGTGACCAGCGTCTGAGCCCTGAGGTCAGTGAGTGACCACCTCCGCAGCCCAGGAATGTGATGTCCAGCTGCTAGGGGCTGGGGTGAGGGGCTGCCCAGGAAGCCCGAAGCAAAAAGCCATCCAGGCTCTGCACACTGGGAGTCAGCCAGGAGCTGGGACCTTGGAGGCTGGCCTCCAAAGACTCAGGGCTCCTTCCAACCAGCAGAATCCAGGAGCAGGTCTTCCTGACTTTTTCTTTGGGGTACCAGCGTACCTGGAGCCCAGGAAAGTGAGTCTAAACCCTGCTTGGGTCTGTCACAGCCGGCTTGGCTCAGCTGGCTGCCCAGTACTTCTGCTGCCTCTCAACACACTGGACCCTCCAGTCTAGCCTGGATGTCTCTGATGTGACTCTTCCTCCTTCTCCGGCCTCCAGGCAGTTCCAAAGAGTTCACCCCTCCTGTAAGGCCCTCCATCCCCTTTCTTCCCAAGGGCGCCAGCCCTTGCCCTGAGGGTGGCCCCCAGCACAGGTTGTTGGGCCTCACGCTGACTGGAAGCTTGAGAAGAAGAACCTCCTGAAAGAATGAGCTGTGACCGGCAGTGGTGGAGGGCCAGGCTGAGGGGTTGGCGTGGACACAGGACACGGACAGATTAATGGTTGGGTAGAGGACCCATCCTGGTGTCTGAGCAAAGAACTGGAGGGGAGCCCTTGGCTTGGGTCCTAGAATCAACGAAGTCTGAGGGGTCCCCTCACTCAGCAGGGCCTGCTCTACAGTCTCCCTCCCTCCCGTGCCCCCACCTTGTATCTTGGTCATGAAGCTGAGTGCTGGGGTGGGGGGAAGCCTGACATTTGAGTGAGCAGCGGAGCGGAAGGATTGCTGGGCAGGGCGTGAGACCTCTGGGAAAACGGAGCTGCTTTTGCAGCAGAAGCCTTTCACTCCCTCTCCCTACTGTGTCAGAGGTGTCCACCTTGGGGTAAGTAGCTGGCTGGGCCAGCTGCCAGCCCACCTCCACTCCCAGGGGGCCTGTGCCTGTGGCATGGAGGTCAGTGCTCCCCACACACATCCTCTTTTTGCTGGTACTGGTCCCTGAGGTCATCATCCCAAGCTTGTCCCAGCAGGGTACCACCTGAGGCAATGGAAAAACAGAGTTTATTTGAATTACACACAAAAAGCCTTCCTGTAGCGGGTTATAAACCCTGTGAACTAATGAAGCTGGAAAACAGGCTTTGAGTACCTCCCCTCCCCCTTCAGTTCTCCCTGCTCAGCAGGGGCTGCTGCGACCCAAGGCCTTGTTTGTTGATTCAGGCTCAACCAGGCTCCAACAAGGAAGCCTTATCAGGAAAATAAACTTTATTTTCATGACCTGACTCCAGCCTGCCTTCTTCTGCCCAGCTGGTGTGAGTAAGCATCCTTGGGGAAGTACCGACTTCTCCAGGATCCTGCCATGAGTGCTCCCTTATGGTCAAATAAAATAGTGCAGAGGTGAAGCAAAGGGCTCTGAGCTGGGATAGATCAGAGTTCATGTTTGGCTCTGCCACAATTTGATGTGTGACTTTGGGCAATTGTTCACCATCTCTGGGCCTTAAAAAAGGAGGATGCTGGCCTGTATAAGTCAGAGTCTCTTCTTGTTTGAAAAGTCTGATCCTGAAGACCCCCATTGCCTTCTTGCTCCTCACCCAGTCCCATGCTTAGCCACCATCCACATCCTGTGCACTGAAGGGGTAATGCTTGGACACATTTTACCCGGTCCTGTCCCCTACTCTCAACTGAGTGGAAAAGGAGCGTGGGACTGGTGGGTAGGTGGATACTTTTGGCACTGATAGCCACCAGGCTTTGAAATGTGCAACCCCTATTGGGCCCACTTCCTGAAAACAGATTTCTTTTAGGGAAAAAAGGTATCAGTGAACATTCAGCATAGGGAACTTGGATCTCATCTGCCCCCAGCCAAGAATGGCAATGATTCCCTTCAACAAAATTATTGTGCATTTACTATGTGCCAGGGACTGGGCAGAGAGAAGTAAGACCTGGTGATGCCCTCAGCACAGAACCAAGGACTGAGAATTTTTCCCCAAGGAGGAAAGCCCCTGAGCCTTTCAGAGGGGACAAATGAGAGAGGATGGGATGGCCCATCTGATTCCAGAATCCCCACAGACCTGCTTTCCTGGGAATCCTCTAGAGAGGATCTGGAGCAGTTCCTGACCAGTGCAGGGTAGAGCTCACTACATCGTGTCCCTGAACTCTGAGCCCCTGGTCCCCAGGACTTGGCTGCTCCGTCCAGCCAGAGGCAGACAAGCCCCTGGCCACCTTGGGATGAGATGTACTTCCCCAAGTTCTGTCAGCTCTTTACAGAAGCCGAAGGGCCTGATGACAGGTCTGGGACCACTGCCCTATGTGGAGCTGTCAGGGTACCCAAGCACCCGGATTATAGTCATAACTCCTGCCCCAAAGTGTGCGCATAGGGCAGGGTCTGACCACAGGGACCTGAGCCCATGGAGATGGGGCCTGCTGTCAATGGGGCTGTGGCAGGCTGGAGTACGGCAGCCATTTTGACCTCAAGATACGTGGTCCTTAGCCTCACGGGGCTCACAGACCAAACTCCCCTTACCCCAACATTTTCAAGCACAGTGGGAGTGCAATAGGGCCACTTCCCTGCCTGGTACTCTATTCTCTGTGCCTTCGAGGCCTAGGTCACACATTACCTTCCTGAGAAGCCCTGATAAAGAGAATTGGGCCAAAGGGCTTCAGCATCCAGGGCTCCACAACTTAGAGCGGCCAAAGCAGTACGTTTAGGTGAACGGAGGGTCCTGGGGCTCATCAATGCCCCTAGCGCTCCCCATCCACCTGGCTGGCAAAAAGCCTTAGGACATTATTACCCTGTAATTCCTAGCCAGAGGTGGCCAGCTCAGGGCTGGGGAGCAGAAGGTGCCAGGCTCACCCGGCCTTTTGGAAAAGACCAGAAGATAGTGTCAAAGGACCCATGTCGGGGTGCAGGGAACTGATGCCCGAGTTCCAGAGGGGGAGTCCCTTGGTCGAGGAGGCCGGGCTGCGCACCCTCGTCAAGTGCAAGGGTGTCTGAAAGTTCTTCTGCCTCGACACTTCCCCACATAGACGCCCTCCGACTCCTATGGGTTCCCAAGCGCCCTAGAGGTAGTCCTTAAAGCAACCTGAACGCTTCTGCACCCTTCCGAGGGCGGATCCCCTCCAGCCAGAGCCTTAGGGCACTAAGGGCGCGGCGCACGCGCACCGAGCTCAGCGACAGCCCCTCCTCTTGCTTGCCTCGACCCGCCCCTTCCGCTCTCCGGTGGGGGCTAAACGCGGCTTCCGCCGGAAACCTGCAATCGAGCCGGAAATCTAGCTCTGAAGTTGCTGTGAGGGGGCTGCTACTCCCTCCTTCTCGTTTCCCGTTTCCAAATTTAGGTTTTCGCGCCCAACACCAACAAGGTGCTGAGACCCCACGCCACCCCCCACATTCCAATTTCGGCAGCAAATTACTGCAGAACCTGAAGCCAGGTAAGGAACCCGTTTCCGGTCTCACCTCCCACACTCTCCTGCCCTTCCACCCGCCCCCCTCTGCCGCCCTGACCATGGCCCAGAAGCCGAAGGTAGACCCCCACGTCGGGCGCCTGGGATACCTGCAGGCACTAGTCACGGAATTCCAGGAGACGGAGAGCCAAGGTGAGAGCGGCAGGGTGGCGGGCAAGGGACGGGGCAGGGGTGCGGCCGTGACAACCGTCCCGGACCTGGCTCCAGTGCCACTTTTCTGCTGCAGACGCCAAGGAGCAAGTACTGGCCAACCTCGCCAACTTCGCCTATGATCCCAGTAACTACCAGTATCTGCGGCAGCTGCAGGTCCTTGATTTATTCCTCGATTCCCTGTCGGAGGAGAATGAAACCCTGGTGGAGTTTGCAATTGGTGAGGATGGGGCAGGTCTCCCAGATACCTGATTTGACTTAGTGAAGTGAGTTAAAAGTCAGTCACGGGGAAAGGAATCTTTTAGGCAGTCCCTCTGCTGAGAAGGCAGATCTCGATATATGCGCCAGCGATGTCTTTGCCACCTCCTCGGTTCACACATTGTCCCAGGTCACAGCTAGCTTGAATCAGGTCGGGAACTAATGCCCAGGACTCCCTCTACATGTCTGCCTTTTCTCCTACTGAGAGATGAGATCATAAATGAGGGAATGGATTGAAGTCACTTGAAGGGGAAAAAGTTTATGGAATGCTGTCTGTTTTTTTAACCTTTTAAAGATTTTATTTGAGAGAGATAGAGAGCACGAGCAGGAGGAGGGGCAGAGGGAGAGGGAGAAACAGACTGAGTGCGGATCCCATCTCAAGGCTGGATCCCAGGATCCTGAGATCATGACCTGAGCCAGAGTCAGACCCTTAACCAACTGAGCCACCCTTAACCACCCAGGCGCCCCTAGAATGCTGTTTTTAAACATCTTTATTTTAATATGGTAATATCAAGAGAAGTAGAGGTGACTTTGAATGGCTTATAACTCCTGTAGTTGTTATGGTCTAAGACCTGTTGAATTATTCAGTGGACAGATACCTATTTGGCATATACTGTGAATAAGGTACTGTTCTAAATGCTGGAGAGATGGTGAACAAGTGGAGGAAAGGTCTTTGCCCTCAAGGAACTTAATTCTAGTAGGGGGAGACACATGGTGAGCAAACAAAAAGCTGAGGCTCTTGGGGCACCTCGGTGGCTCAGTCACTAAGCGTCTGCCTTCGGCTCAGGTCATGATCCCAGGGTCCTGGGATCGAGCCCCGCATCGGGCTCCCTGCTCCGCCGGAAGCCTGCTTCTCCCTCTCCCCCTGCTTGTGTTCCCTCTCTCTCTGTCAAATGAATAAATAAAATCTTAAGGAAAAAAAAAAAAGCTGAGGCTCTGAAGGAAGTAAACAGGGTGATGAGATAGAGCAGAGGTGGGGGCTGCTTCATTTCCTCCACCATGTGAAGGCATTCTAGGAAAAGGCACAGCATGGGCAGAGACCCTAAAGCAGAAGGAGCCAGAAAGAAGGCTGACGTGGCAGGCTGTGGGGAGTGAAGCAAAGTGGTACAAAATGAGGCTAGAGAGGTAGGCAGTACCAGAGTTTACATGACTTAGCTCTAGGCCGTGGGAAAGAGTTTGGAATTTATTCTGAGGACAAACAAAAATTATTCTTTCAGCATGCATCTTAAAAAATTACATTTTTCTGGGGGTGCTGGGTGGCTCAGTGGGTTAAACATCTGACTCTTGATTTCAGCTCAGGTCATGATCTTGGGATCGTGGAATCGCCCCATGCCAGGCTCCTGAGCTCAATACGGAGTCTGCTTGAGATGCTCTCTCTCCCTCTCCCTTTCCCTCTGCTCTTCTCCCTACTTGAGCACATGCTGTCTAAATAAATCTTTTTTTTTTCCTAATAAATACATAAATAAATATTTTTGGGGCACCTGGGTGGCTCAGGTCATGATCTCAGGGTCCTGGGATCGAGCCCTGTGTTGGGCTCCCTTGCTC